CAGGGTATCTCCTAGTCGAGCAGTCTCGACTAGAGTCTTCTTACTTGTTTCATTTATTTATTGAGTTTATATATTCATTTAACTCATCGGCAGCTTGGCAGAAATTCTAGGGTATTTTCTAGTCAAGCATGTGTAACCTAAGAACTTTTTTTTTTTAATGCCTTCCTTTGTATGTGTGTGGAGTTGCACTCGTTAGGTTTAGGTAGAGTTCACATAATGCGCAGAACTATTTCTGCCAGGATAATGTTGCTACATCCATATACATATATACATACATATATACATACTTCATATATATATACATATGTATGCAAAAATTGCCCTGGTATCGGTTGCTTCGTTGTCGTTCCTCCACTCTGCCCGTTGGTGTAATGCACTGTGTGCAGCTTATGTGAAAACCACTTGAGTTTGGTCTATGCAAACATGGCCATAGATTAGTTTTCATCTGATCAAAATATTTACGAAGCTTTCCTCTCAGCCAATTAACAGCTACATTTCGGGCAAGGAGCCAACTTTAAGGTAGCTTTAAGTCACATGAGAACACAAGTGGCCGTAATTTGGGCCTTTATTGAGTGGCAGTTGGTGTGGGAGATTGAGCGAGAGAGAGAAAGAGAGAGAGAGAGAGTAGATAAAATGCCTATCGCCCAGCTGCTGATTGTTTCGCATTTTAAATACTCTAAGAACAGACGAGAGTTGTGTGAGCTAACTGAATGCAGATGTTGAGTGAAATGTAAATTGATATTTTCTGATGCCATTTGAAGCCTAGAATAGTAGAAGAATATACATAAAAAATAAATAAAATAAAGGGAAAGTTAAAATCCAATGAAATCATAAAAATATATATAAACAAATAGTTATAGAAAATGTATAAAAATATATGTATAAAAATATTTAAACACAAAATGTATATTATGAAAATTATAATTTTATAAATTTATAAAAAATGTTTTATATATTTTATATATATTTTATATATTATATATCAATTATTTGTAAAATTTGTCTTTCTATTTAAAATAAATAAATTGTATTAAAATGTTTCTAATAATAATATATATATTTAATTACTTTAAAATTCAAATAAAAATAAATACAAAATTAAATTGACCTTTCAGCGGAAAATTCATTTTATATTTGACATTTACAAACATATTTCACATTCATATTCATATCTAAAACTTCTAAATTGGCTACTAATTCATTTTTAACTAAAATTTGAGAATTACGAAAACTTTTTTAATCTAAATGCATGTGGGAAAGTCGTATCAAACAGTAATTTTAATTAAATACTTGAACTTTTCATTCAAACTTTCTCTCAAAACTATGTGCGAAAATAATTGTGTTAAACAAAATGTTGAATGAATATTAAAACAGAGTTTGACAATGTAGAATCGCCGGACGCAACTGACTTTTTCTTTTTTTTTTTCATTTTACCTCTACGATTGAAGTAAATATTTTAGTTGTAGTTACGTTAAAGCTGTCTGTATAGAGAGGATGGGAAGACAAAATGGCCCGAGGCCTCTGTCAATATATGCTCACTTGTCAGGGTATTTGTGCATCGCTGCAATAAAGTTGGATAGAATCTCTTTTACAATATTATGACGGCAGAGAAAGAGAAAGCGAAAGGCAAAGAAAGTAAAAATTGGAAAGCCAAGCAGAACAACGGCATGGCTAGACGTCGAAACAAGTGACTGCTGGCTGGTAATTTCCTCAATATCGTTTGGGCTTCGTTTGTTCTACCCCTCAGTAGCAACAGCAGCAGCTGCCCTTAATAAGGTGTTGTTGAGCAATTTAATTTTATTGCACTTATTTTTGGCATCTGAGATGGCAGACACAAATACACACACACACACACACACACACACACACAAACAGACAGCCATATACATTTATAGTCCAGGCTTTTTGGCAGTTGCCTACTTTAATTTTAATTGGCTCCACGCACGTGAACCTAAATTGTTGTCCTCGATTGTTGTTGTTGCTGTCGTTGTTATTGTTTTCGCCATGTCGACATGTTCCTCTATCACATTTCAACTCCCTACTCCCCAACTCCTCTGCTCCATCTACAGCACATTCGATGCTGTGTGCTTTTCGTCCTTTATTGTTTCGCATATAAATTTGCTCGACGCTTTTGGTGTTTGGTTTTTGCAATTTTTGGCCTGCAAGTCGTTAACATGTTTTTATTTAATGCCATTTTGATGTGGCGCAAAGAAATTTCCACTGGCATTTATTGCCGCAATTAAGTGATGAAAAATGTTTGAAATGCTCTGCATCATCTCATCCCTAACCCAGTCGTGACCCCCGATGCCGCTGCCCGCCCCCCATCAAAGGTCATCAGCATCGACAGGGTTATAAATTCTGAAGCACAGACCCATTCACAGTGCTCTTAAGTGCCGTTATTCTGTTATTCTGTCGACTGCTCTAACGCATTCAGATCTTCAATTTATGACCAGGCCAAGAGCAAAAAAAAAAAAAAAAAAAAAAAAAAAAAAAAAAAAAAACACCTGACTTTTGCGCCGATTGCAACAGGCTCTTCATTAAGTGTTTGTCCTTTTGAATGCCACAAATAAAGTCAAATTGCTTTCGTTTATATTCGTATATATATAAATATATAGAATTTATGTATATTTTTTGTTGGTTTCAGTCAAGTCTATTAGTTTAATTGGATTTTCAAGTGGGAGCATGTGAAACTGCATTAATATAGCCTGTGTTATAGAAGTATGAGAGGGTATATGCAATCTGAGCAATAGTTAAAGCCTGGTTTATATCAAGGAGCTGGCCTAAGCTTGATAGTTATGAATTTTATTTTAAATTATTAAATTGAATATTTAATTTGTTTTTACATAAGATTTTCTGCTACTATAGCAAAGTAAATTTAATTAATTTTTAATTGAATTTTAATGCACAATATATTTGATTTTTATTTAATTTTTTTTTTATTTATTTATGATTTTACAAATAGTTTCCAGGGTATGTTCTATTCAATCACACCTTGTTAAATGCATTTTTTTTTTCATATTTTCAGGCGAGATTTTTGTACAAGATTTAAATACTTTGTCAAGCTTAACAAAGGCATTGCCGGCATTCTTGAACCCAAATCCGTTGAAATTCCACGGGACATTTTTTCATAGGAATCCACGCAAAAATGTTTGCTGGCTTTGCCATCTAACGCGCTTAAACTAGTTTCCTATTGAGACAAACAACAACTATTTGCATTTTGGCACAAGAAATTAAATTAATTATTATTAAAATTAAATTAATTATTATTAAAATTAAATTAATTATTATTAAAATTAAATTAATTATTAAAATTCAATTTATATTTATAAAATGAATGAATATGTAAAAATAAATTAAAAACTAAAAATAATTCTAATAAAATCTAATAATATTTAAGGGAAATTTACAACATAAATAGAAATTGTAGACTGAATAAAATACCATTTAAAACTATTTATTAATTAGCTCTTGCAAAACTATTTGGAGCTTAAACGAAAAGCAGCTGTGCCTAAGAATTAATATTCAATGCAGGAATAGCTGTTTTCTTTTTTTTTTTTTAATAATACTGATAGAACTATAAGCTTACTAGCTAAATAGAATGTTGAAATTAGTTTATTAATCAGGTCACGTAAGCAACAGGAAATGTAATATCAAAATATATGCACTCAAATTTGAGTTTAAGCTTTGACTGCGTCACATCTTCAGTTGAATTAATTGATGTCTTACCTAACTTTCGATTTCCGCACAGCTGTAGCTGAATAAAATATAATATCTGGCTCAAAGTAGTGCCACGAGCCAAGAGACAGCTTTAAATTAATTTAACTTCGGATGTGGTCGATGTGGAAGATGCTTAAAATTCAATACACGCACTTTGCAGCCAAGAGTCTTTTATAAACTTGATAACACTCGGGGCCCTGTCGCATGCGGGCTACTCTCTCTGTGCGTGTGTGTGCGTGTTTGCACGTGTGCTTGTGTGCGTGTGGAGGTCTTTAACAGAAACTGTCAGCCGGCTGGGAATTTTAATTTAGAACGCAAACAACAAACAACAAACATCAGACGAGGCGGCACTGAAAACATCGACAGGCAAATGCTGTAAAAACATTTAAATTAACGTCTCCTTTAAAACGGTTGACACTGTGCGTGTGTGTGCGTGTGTGTGTGCGTGTGTGTGTTGGAAAGGCATTCATAAAACGAGCCCATAAATGGCAAAAGGGTCACACAAACACAAACGCAAACACGCACGCACTGCCACACAGGCATGTCCATAAAGATAAAGACCATAACGTTGCCATAAACCGAAAGAGTCCTCAAGCATGTGTGAGTGAGAGGGTGTGTATGAGTGTGTCTGTGAGTGTTGAATGTTGTGTTTGAGTTTTTTCTCTTCACTAGGTAATGTGGCTGGTAGTCATACACACACACACACGCAGGCAGGCATACTTACCCGAAAATGGACATTGAGCTGAGTGAAAACAATTTGCACAGCTGGCCATTGGGGCGTATGCGTAATATTGCTCATACGACCCACTGGCTGTCGAATGCAGCGGCTGCAGCCAGACGAGACGACCCAGCTGTGTTTACAGACATTCATAATAAACCTTTATTCATCATTATATAGTTAAATAACATTTGCATCTCTCTCGTACATTAAATGTATTTAAAAATGTTTTCATATCATTTTGTTTTCTTTCTCTTTTTTTCTGTTTTTAAATAAATATTTGTGAACAATGCTAAATGAAAATTTAGCCATAATTTGTAATATAAACAATTTTTTGGTTATTTTCGTATGCATTTATGCGTGTATTATTTTTTAGGGGCAATCGTTAGTAATTTTGCATTATTAGCTACAATTAAACTAAGCTCTGAGGGCTAACAATATTTATATATTTATATATATATATACGTTTCTATTATTACTTTCTTGAATTTCTTTTTGGCAGAGATATGTTTATTTTACAGTTTACAACTAGAAGTAGCACGAGCTCTAAACTATTTATTTATATACACACATATATTGCACGTTTCTGGTTAATTTAATTTACTTTAATTTATAATTATTTTGCTGCTCTTAAGTTCGTTTTCGTTTAGTTAAGCGGCTTAGCTAAATCATTCTGTGATTTCTACTTGAAATTCAAATTCAATTGATGCTAAAACACATGATTTACAACAAAATGGCAACGCTGCTTGTTTAACTCTGTACAGTTGTAGGTGTGTGTGAGTGTGTGTGTGTGTTGTGTTTGTGCAAAATATTGACAACATTTGGGGCTCATTATTGTTGCAAATGTTTTGCGCTCGTTTTGCGTGGCTAAACGTGGCTTTTGGCTTTCACTGAAATCAGGCGTTTTAGCTCTCGATTATTGGCTTTAGCGCATAATATATGTATGTACATAGCTATATATACATATGCCTGCATGCATATGTATATGGATTTGTTGATTAGTTGCTATAGTAGTACAATTAAATTTCATAAAGTCTTTCAATATTTAATATCATAACATAATCATAAACTAATCAATGGAATCTTTTAATCAGAGAACACATGCCATCTCTTTCTCTCTCTCTCCTCTCTCTCTATACAGAAACCTCCTTGGTATATTTGGATCGATCGTTCAGATCGAGCACCAGCTTGTCGGGCCGCTTGGGTCGGCCGGTGCCGGCGCTGCCGCTCGTCTTGTCCGTTTGGCTAGTGGAATTGTTCGATGCATTGGACACATTGCCCAGCGACCTGGTCGCCTCGGCCGTTGGCTGTGCCACGGCCTCAATATCGCTATCAGCGGCGCCGCCGCCGCCGCCGGAACTGGCAGGCTTTGCCTTGTACAGCGCAATGTCGTCGGTGGAGCGAGCCACCTGGGTCACAGCGATGCTGACCTCCACCTCGGCGCGGTCGAGCAGCTCGCTGCTGCGCGCCTGCCCGGAGAGCGGCTGGGGCGCGGGCTGGGTGCAGCTGCCGCTGCGCCGTCGGCCGGCGGGAGGCGGCTTGTCGCTAAGCCTATACTTACTTCTACAGTTATCACAAATTTGATACGAAATGCTGACCTCGGCCTCGAGCAGGTTGCGCGGCCCGCGCTTGCAGCTGGTGGGCGGCGTATTGGTGGCCGCGGTGCGCACAGCGGGCCGCCGGCGCTGCGCTTGGTCGAGGTCCTCCGACTGCGAGCACATGCAGTCCAGCTTGATGTTGGCGAAGCTGAGGCTGCCCTCCTGCTGGGGCGAGCCGAGCTCCTCGCAGGCGGTGCGCGGCGGGCAGCAGTAGTAGTGCTCCTTGGACGCGTCCAGGCACCGACTGCAGATGATGTGGCCGTCGGCGCTGCGCCGTAGCAGCTGCTCGCGGAAATCGTCGCCCGTTAGCTCCGTGTTCATTGACCGCTCCTCGTAGGCGGTTGTCGGCGTGGGCGTGGCCGAGGATGGTGGCGTCTCCAGGACCATGGTGGGTATGCTGCCACGTGCCGTCGCCGCAGATGCTGCTGCCCTGCCATTGGCATTGTTGTTCTGCTGCAGCTGCTGATTGTACTTCTGCATCTCGGCATTGAGCGTGAGCAGGGGCAGCGCCGTTTGGCGTGCGGCCGCCGTCGCCTGGCCGGTGGATGCGTGCGTGGCGGCAGCGGCGACCATCATCATGCCGCCGGGCGTCTTCAGGCCGTCCAGCAGGCTCGATATGGTCATCACGGCGACGCCCTTGGGTGGGGCCATGTCCTGGATGCGCTGCAGCTGCATGCTCAGCTGGCGTATCTCCTCGAGCGCCTCCTGGTCGGACAGCTTGGTCTCTGCAAAGGAAATGATTGCTGGATGAAGTCGTCGGGCCGCAGCCCCATCAATTATCCTGCACAAAAAGCAAAGGCAGAGGTAGGGGCAGGGGCAGGGGCAGGGACCGAGGCGAAAGTGAAAGCGAAGCGTCGTTTACACGCCGCCGCAGCTCTCAACTGGCAAAGTTGCCAGCCGAACAAGTTTCGCACTAAAAAAGTTGCGTCTCGTGTCAGAAGTTGGCCGGGGCCCGGTTGGGGCTGGAGTGGGGCTCGAGGACAATTTAAATGCGTATTCCTGTAGCTGTGGCAGCCAACAAAACATGCCAGCATGGAAATGAAAATGGACGCTGTTGCGGCTGTGGCTGTCGACTTTTATACAAGACAGCCTACACTTGCCACTGACTGTCTAAGTGTGTGTGTGTGTGTGTGTGTGTGTGTGTGTGTGTGTGGGTGGTTGGGTGGTTGGGCTGCCTCTGCTGTTTGCTCGATGATAAATGGCCGTTCAATTCAACTGAAAGCCTGTCAGTGTGATTTAAGTGAGTCCACTCAGCGCCACTTGACGCGACTTTCAAATGTATAACAACTGCAACAACAAAAAATGAATTTTTTTTTTATTTTTTGTTGCCGCTGGATTTAGATTTATGGCTGTGAAATTAAGCGGCAGCAGTGGGCCAAGAATTGAATTTATTATGTGCGTCTGTGGTGGGCTACACATATTTGCAACGAAAAAAATATATGTATATATGTATATATATTTAAAATTTAACACACAAAAACAAATTCACATGAATATAATCTAACAACTTTGTCTCTAACTGAGCGGGTGTGTGTTGGTGTGTGTGTGTGTGTGTGTGTGGGTATATTTGCGGCTTTGTTATTGTTTAATTTAAATATGCAAATTGAAGGCAGCTAAAGCAGCAAGAAACGAATGCACGCCATGAAAGAGCGAGAGAGAGAGAGAGAGAGAGAGTGAGAGAGAGAGCTGGAAATTTAACGCACAATTTACGCAACCGCAAATGCGTCTTGCGGTCGTGCCGGGCAACGCCGGCATAGAAATACGAGCAATAAAAAATTAAATATAAAAATGAAAGCGCCAAATGAGAAAAGGTCGCTCATAAAGCATTAAAATATAAAGCGTCGCTCAGCCTACCGCCCATCCACCTCAGCCCCGCCCAGTCCAGTTGGCAGCCTGGCAATAAACTGCGATGGCAGCGCGGAATTAAAATGCGGCCTAGACAACAAGCCGCTCGTAACTGTTTTCCCAGCGACTTAATCATTTGACGTGCCACGCCCACGTGTCAAAACATAAAATGCCACCTGCGATTGCCCCACGTCCCTCCGTCTGTCCGTCCGTCAGTCCGTTCGTCTGCCTCGTCTTGCTGTGCTGGCAAAAGTTTTGGCTTCTATCTAATTTGTAGCTCGCCTCAGTTTATCATGTCGGAGATTTGCCGTTTATGCCAGCGACATCCTATCAAAAGGACATCATCAGGCATCGAGCGACTTCGGGGAATAAACCCTTAACAAATTTGCCGCCTCTTGTGTAGTGGCTTCTAGATAAATAAATGTAACGTTTGGCATCTCGACGAGGAAGTTAACGCTAGGCTGATTTCAGTCACAAACAAGTGAGCGCTTGAGTGCTCTGTCCCACTCTCTCCTTCACTCTCTCTCCCTCTCGCTTAGGTTAACCGCATCAAGCATGGAGGACATTTTGCGCACATAAATCAAAGCTGAAGTTGACATAAGATATCTGCGAATACTTGAGCATATTCATATACATAGACACACGCACACACATATATATACATACATGCATATATATTTATATATAGGTTTATGTGTGGCTAGACAGGAATGTCGGCATTAAGCTGACGCCAGCCACGCAATCAGTTTATTTTTTAAATCGTCCGACAAAGTGCCATAAATAAAAGTCAAAATGCCACAGATGAGTTGACTTAATCAGCATCCTTGAACTGTGTGAAAGGACGAAATGCGTGGCCCGATCATTTGTCAAGCGTCTCGTTAGTCGTAAGTACATATATCGATATGCAGTCCAGTGCGATCCCTGCTCTGGTCTGGTCTTCTCCATAATGATGCAATTATGCTTACCCGCCGAGGTGGTGCCAGCTGCTGGCACCGTGGACGTTGTCATCGAGCTGGGATGGGCGAAGGTGCGCACCTGTGGTCGAAAATTGAATTTGGCACCCGATGCCTTGGCGCCCATGCCAATGTTCTCCTGATGCGATTTACCGCTGCGCAGCACAATGTACACCTGTGGGCGAAGAAGAAGAAGAAGGGAGAAGGTAAAATGGTAACAACTTCATGCCATCGGGCGCTACGCACCTTGCTGCCAAAGATGAGGGCGAGGAGCAGCGTCACAGTCAGTTGCGTGTGGCAGAAGAAGATGATGTAGAGCAAATCTGGATTGGCCGGCGATTGCAGAAAGAGCCTGAACAGAAAGAGAGAGAGAGAGAGAGAGAGAGGGGAAAAACACAGAGGGAATCATTGTAAATGCTAAATCAAAGAAAATATGAATCGTAGAACATCGAGTGGCTGCCTCTACTTACATGGACACATTGAGGAAGCAGGTGAGCAGAAATTCATTGTAGATGGCCATTGAGATGAAGCGGCTCTCGTTGAACTCGGATGGTGCCTTCCTGACCATAATGCAGAGCCGGACGCCCCAGGCCAAGAACAGAACTTCCACTGTTCGCGAGCATATGGAAATGAGAGAAGCAAAGTGAAGTGAGCTGAAGTGAATTGTAGCGTTTGCTTCTGCATTTGCAGGGCTTTTAGCTTTCGTTTGCTTTGAATTTCAATTTTAATTAAAAACTCTTCAATTAGAGAGAGTGAGAAAGAGAGAGAGAGAGAAGGAGAGCTGCCTAATTAGACGGCAATGCCTACGAGCCTTTTAAAATGTTATTTAACATAATTCTCAGATGTTCACAGTGAAAGAGCATATTAATAAAGATATCACACACACACACATACACACACACATACACACGCACGCACACTCGCACTGCGTATTCAATTTCAATTCTGATTCTGTTGCATACTTTTCAGCGCAAAGTAGCAGAATTAATGCACTCAGCACGCAGCTCTTTGCGTCGCTTTTAATGCGCATTTCGTGCTGTCCCATGTGCACTGTATTCAAATTAAGTTATTTATGCACCGATTTCTGCTCTCATCGCTCTACAGGCGCTGTCCCTGTCTCTGTGCCTTGTGCATAAAACAAAAAATGAACGTAAACTGATATTTTTCCATTTTTCCTGAAGAGCAATATTCGTTTATATTATAATACTATTGAGTGAAATATAAGCTCGATAGAGTATGATGGCCTGGTCACGGTCATGACCAGCATGCTGAACCAGTGTTGTCAGCTGCTGAAAGCAGAATATGCTGGGCCAGAGGGAAAATGGAAGAAATCCTACTAAAAGTAGTAAATTTATTTAAGAATTATTATTTACAGTGACCTTTTAACTTGCTCATTTTACAAATAAAAAAAAACCTATCAAAAATCAATAAAGTATTTGCTCTAAATAATTTCTCTAAGAGATTCCTCCCAGTATTTATTCCAAGTATTTCCTTTAAGTATTTCCTCTAAGTATTTCCTTTAGGCTTTTCTGCATCCATTCAAGTATTTTCTCCAAATATTTCTTCAGAATATTTCCTAAGAGTACTTCCGCAAAATATTTCTCTTCTAGGTATTTAATCCAATTCGTTAATGCTTAGCTGAACGATCACACACATCACTTCACTTTATTGCGCTTTACGACTGAGCCCCACCAGGCCTGGGCGACTGAGGAAATGCTGCAGCTGCTGCCCTTTATATAGGGCGACTAGCACTCACAGCCTAAGTCGTGCTCAAATGTTGAGCCCAGGTAGAGCTCGTTGCAGTCGAGGTGAAAGTGACCAATGGCAATGGGAATGGAACACTCTCTGCTTCGTCAAGCACTCCAGCTTGGTTTCACTCAAATATAAATGCCAAATGAGTACTGCTGCATACCTATGTATAAATAACTGAAATGATCTTCTGTAGCTCTTCTTCGTCCCTTGCTCTTGTTGGGTAAACAGACAGAGAGACTGTGAGATAACTGCAGCAGTTATTCTCTCACTTGCCTCAGGCAAATAAATCAAATAGAGCTCTTTCTGAAATCATATTCCAGGCATATCTTAATTTTGATTCGAGTCGATGCAAACTCAATTTTGTTTGTCATTGAATGAGTCAGTTAATATTTATGAATGTTGCAACAGGATTCGTCAGAATGGCTGAAAAACAAGCAAACAATAAAAGCAGCCATACAATGGCTCTTGAGTTCAATATATGCGATTCCGATGAATAGCTCCCTCTCTCTCTCTCTCTCTCCCACCCTCTCTCTTGGAAGAGAAAGGTGCGAAATCGAAACATACTCAAGCCTTGAGAAGCTGAAGAACTCTATTGTTCGTGAGTGGGCCAAAATATTGGCAAGTCATTGCGGGCTGTTGTTACTTGACCGTCTGAAGGCCATAGTCAAGGCAAAAGCAGTTCATATAAAACCGAATTTAATTGATTTTAATAATGATTTACTTTGAGTGATGATTACTTTGCTTTACTTTGAAATAAATAAAAAAGCAATTTCCAAATCGTTTTTTAGCAGATTTTTCCTGAGTTACATTTCAACTGCCTATTCCTGTAAAGTAAAGTGAGTTTACTGAAACCAAACTTTATGTCTATTGGAATTTCATAACAATATATTTTAGCAGAAGGAATTATACAAAAATATTGCTTTATTCAATATCTACCTAAATCTACCTAAAATCTTTACAGATATTTTCCCTTTCAACCAGCTTGCTCATAAATGCATTTATTGCCCAACTAACTTTTAAAGACTCGGCTTATCTTGTTTATATTCCATCAGCTGCAAGTTGTGTCTGCTCTGCTTTTTGTCTGGCAATTTTTTGCTCAATCATATTGAAACACTTTCACCTGGCTGATAAATGCCGAGTTTTTACCTGTTATATTTGAGTCAAACATGTACTCGAACAATTTTGTAAAAAAATTGAATATTTTATAGCAAGTTTTTGCTGTAGCTGATTCAGATTTCATTGAATTTATTTTATTTGCTGTAAAACTTAATAATGTTAATTCAAACAGATTTTAAATACCAGGCACTTCAATGGATTTCTTTAGCTTGAATCCATTATGTTTTGGTGCAATTAATTACGTAGTATAAATAGCTGGAATTGAACAGCCATTGCTGCAGAAATCTATTCTTGAAGTGGCTCTTGCGATGCCCTTAAATGCGAGAGCTTGAAAAGAGACTTTGGCAACAAAGCTAGCATTTGTTGAATGGCAACTTTTGCACTATGTTTGGATGACTTGCAATTTGTGAATAAGCCTTTTACACTGCCCGAAATGCCTTTTGACGCATCACAGTGCAGTGTGCAGCCGGCTCGCACAAAAAGTCGAATTTAGCTGCAGTGGCCGCCCTGGCCTGGACTCTCTGAATCGCAGCACTCTGTGGCCTCGTGGCTGGATTTTATGTTAAGCCAGTAGCAGCACACACCCACACGCACCCACACACACACACACATGCATACGTTTCCTACTGCCTGCCGGTCAGTTGTCCTGGCTACGTTGGCATTTCAATATTTTTCTTTTGTCCCGGCACACGCTGCGTATGCGTAATACTGCCTGCTGCAGCATTTCCGTTTTACTGCTGTTGCTGTTGTTGTTGCAGCAGCTTCGCTTTGTGCCTGGTTATTCGAGAGTTGCGCATGATTTAAAGTGGCTGCTGGATCAATCAAATGTGCTTATGGTATTTCGTGTCCGGCCCATCAAAGTGCTTTGAATCGCCGTCTCGGTTTACTTACTCGAGGTGAATGTGTAGTCCCACCAATCGGTTTTGCATAGAAACGCCTTCAGGTCGTCCGCCGTGCGGCCTACGACTACGTCCGGTGGCGATACCAGGGTGCGCACCAGCAAGCAGGTCCCAATGGCCCCACAGATGATGCCCAGCCGCTTCAGCAGCGCCGCGTCCGTGATTTTGACGGCCTTCGCCGAGCGCACGCGAAATATTACCGAAATGCTGCACAAGACGATTCAGTTGGGCGTAAGAGCAAGAAAACTGTGTGCATGAGAATGAAGCTGGCAGCGTTGCCCACTTACCGCCAGGTTTTCAGCATCAGAGCTCCGTAGGTCAGGGAGAAGCCAATCTCGCGCAGCCAGATGCGAGCCGTGCACGTGTAGAGATTCGGGTTCGGGTACATCACGATGTTCTGCAAGTATGGGCAAATATGCAAATAATTTAGTCCACTCACATGGGTTTTTGTTTCGTTTAGCCACTTGGAATTGCAAAAATGAATTCAGTTGTAGACGCAACGTCCTGTGACAGGAACAGGAACCAGCAAAAGGAATACGAATGCGAGTGCGAGACAGGAAACGCAACCTGTGATGTCTTCTATTTCTGTTTTCTCATTTCTATTTATTTTTTCTATTTTCTGCCATTCGAGCATAACTAAAGTCAACAATTCTATATTTTGTTGGCAATTTATTTTCATTTATACTAAAATATTAATAAAAGTGTAGCAAAGGCAGGAGCAGGAGCAGAAGTAGAAGTTGTTGATTCTAGCACAGTTTAAAAAATCATAAAGCATTCTTGCTTGTGTCTTTGACTGAGGCTTCCGCCCCTTCATATAAATAGCACAATATATCTCTTTTGTCTGCGAATTTTATATACACATCTATCTGTGTGTGCTATACATTCACTTGTGTATGTGTGTGTATGTGTGTGCTAAACGATGAACTCTCGTTTAAAGTTGCTTATTCTGCTGCCACATTGCCGCATTATTTATGTGTCACGAGCCATAAATCAATCAAATTAAATTGTAAAGCAATCTATTTGAATTGCGTCTGCTGGTCACAGCTACGTGCCATTCTTTTCGCTCAGTGTATGTGGCAATAGATATTCATAGCCTCGGCTACCTGCGAGCTGTGCAAATGATGAATATGACAATTTGAACCCCATAAAGAAATCAATTTTGTCCTAAGTAAACTTGTGTGAGCGATGCCTCAAATAATATTCAATAAATATAGAAATACGTTAGCTTTGCTCATGCGCTGAGGATTTTTAGCAAAGGCAATATTTTAGCAAAGTTTGCAGTGTTTTTTTATATTTATATATATATACTAGCAATATTTATGATCAAAGTACGTAAAAATGTCTAAAATAAGTTTTCTTTCCACTTAACTGAGTCAGTGCCAAATATTTCAGTTTATATATCTATCAGTCTTAAAACTGCTCTGAAGTCTATTGACAGCGCATATATATATCTCAGCTATATCTCAGCTCACATATGCCATTTATATTTACTCCACAAAGCAAGCACTATTTTATTGCAAGCATTGGCTATCTAAAAACTAGCCTTTTTCCTTGTTCTTATTTGTTTTTTTCTATACTTATTTATACTATATCCAATGAAACACTGAGGTGAGTGTGATTTGCATAACATCTAGAGGATTTTATGTCTTTTCCACGTACAGAGTATATGACTTGTGTTATCGGCTATGTTGTTGACTTTTTATTTATTATGTCTCCGAACGAGGGTACGCAAAAATTTGTTGCTAGCTTAGTGCTGCGCAAGTACCACTCGACGTCGTCTGAAGGAGGTGTCTGTGTTGTAGTGAGATGCTCATGTGATTCTTGAGCTGGCTTGAGAAGCTTTAGGGAAAGGCGGCTTTATGGTTGAGCTCAGTAAATCAGCATATTCCACATTATTGAATAACATATATAAATTGTAGATGTATGTGCATATAGTCCATGTGGATATTTACTATTGATAATGGAAATTTACCTTATCAATATACATTCCTCTAATTTGGATTCACATACAATTTTTGCTTAATTTATATTGCCCAGAAATTAATTGAATTCTTTGCAAAAATTGGTATTTAAGTAAATTAATTTTAAATCTATTAAAAAAAATAAAATAAAATAAAATAAATATTTTAAATTATTTATTGAATTAAATAAAAAAAAAAATAAAAAAAAAACAACAATATATATATATATGTATAAAAAAAAAATAAAATAAATAAATGAATTAAGTAAAAAATAAATTAAAATAAATAAATAAAATAAATAAAATACATAAAATAAATAAATCAAATAAATAAATATTAATAAATAGGAAAATAAGAAATAAATAAAAAAATTGTTTAATATGTTAGCATTTTTTTGTTTTTTTTTGTAAATAAAGACAGCAAAATAATGGAGTAATATATATATATTTTTAACTTTGACTTTTTGACTTTAATAAAATATCTATTAAATTCGCATTCACTTATTGAATTTGAGTTAATTTTTCTACATTTTCCCATCAGCAGCTGGCCGTGGGAAAAGCAGACTTAATTTGCAGCTGCTGACAGAGCTGTGTGTTTGGTCGCCAATCATTCAGACAGTCAGGCAGTCAGACAATCGGACGGACAGCCAGTCAGTTAGACAGTTTGTCAATCAATCAGTCAGTGCATAAAACTCTTTTGTGGAAATAGACATTTCACTCAGCATTCAGAAATCAGTCAATCAAAAACGAAAGAAAGCTCGCTTCCCTTTAATGTAATGGAGTTCACTAAATTGTCGACTGTGCCGCGTCAGCTTACGTCTAGTTTTAAGTCAGATTAAGTGTATAATCGCGTTAGCTTACCGTGCAATAGATGAAGAAGGCGCCCAGTGCGATGACCCGCAGCAGGGCCGGGCTGGCAGCGCGCACCACCTGTAATTGTTAAGTGCTTAGAGTAAAGTTGTCGAATGGAAGATTTGGCTGATTTCGGATTTGATGAGTGAGTCAAGTGTGGCGCGGTCTATTAAAGTTAAGCACGTCACGTGGAGCTTAGTTGAAATTCAAATTGGAATCGTCTGCTCTACACAATTGCGCACAGCCAAGCAGAACCGCAAAGCGAGTTCACATGCCAGAGAGCGTGAGAGGGATTTAGCGGCATTTAATTAGTTTGGGTCGGACGAGAGAATGAGGAATAGAGCTGGAGACGGAATCGCATTTGAAATAAAAACAGTTTAGTTGGCTGACTGCGCTGATTCGCACCACTGCGACAGACAGACAGACAGATAGACAAAGACAGTCACAGACAGCGCAGCAGTGGGGATTTAATAATTCACTCTGATTACGCACAGAGTCACACAATGTCCTCGCATGGACATGGCAAAGTTCAAAACGGTTTAAGGCTATACGCCAGAGACAGTTGGCCGCACAGTCTGCTCCATGGACGCACCTAATGAGCGCTCCACTGATACCGGACAGGCCGCAGTGCAGTCTGGAGCTGGCTGATGGCTCTCTGCGAATGTTTGCACTTCCGTTTATGCGGCACAATATCCGTTGTCGAGGACACGGACGTGAACATGGACACGGACGTGGACACTGGACATTGGACATTGGACACGGGCAGCACGTACAAAATTAACTTGAAACTAACAATGCTAAGCAGCTTAGCATTCCAATGACAGCAGCTTAGGTTGGCTGGCCTCTCGCCCACCGACCGACTAAGCCATTTGACAGCGGCGACTTGCCAAAGGCGCCAACGGCAACATCTCTAAAGCCAACCCAATTCCCAGACTGAGTCTCACGCTCACTCTCACTCTCACTCTCAGTCTCAGTCTCAGTGAGTTGCCTTCTCAGTGCCGGCTTATAAAAACTTGTGCTGGCATTTTAAACAAGAGTGGGCGTGCCACTTAATGCAGTGCCAGCAAAGTAATTCTATTTGGGTACGTGTGGGCACCCACCTTGACTTGTTGATAGCGAAAGGTGAACCAGGCGGCGGGTGGCAGCAGACCGATGACAATGCAGGCCAGGGCCAGGATGCTGGAGCGCATGGGCCAGTTGAGGGCAGCGATGCAGGGTGAGGCGTCCTCGCAGGAATCACAGCCCTCGGCACAGGGCAGGCACTCGTATTCGTTGTTGCTGTTGTACGTGGAGTTTTTGCCCTGTGTAAATGAGAGTTGTTGTTGTTGTTGTTGTAGTTGTGGGTAAATAATAAATGAGAGCTGTTTCTCTTTATTTCTATTTTTGTATATTTGTTTCATTATTTTCTTCTTCTTCTTTTTTTTGGGTCAAGCATTGCCAATTACTGCAACCAGTTGAGTCAGCCATTTGGTGCCTTTGGGCCCGGCAGGATAATGGTAATTTATATGACAACAATTGAGTTCAACGTACCAGCATCAGTTTCTCGTACTCCTCCTCCAGCAGGCTGCCGTTGAAGAACTTGTGCTGCGAGGCGACGTCGGGAAAGTAGAAGCCCTTGCGGCAGAGGCACTTGTAGGAGCCGCGCCGAAAGCCCAGTCCCATAATGGCCTCGCACTGCGCTTGCGATAATCGGTGAGGTGAAAGTGGAATTGAAAACGAGAGTCAAAGAGAGAGAGAGAGAGAGAGAGTGTAAGTGACTGCTGATTGCTCTATAGAGTGGCTTAAGTACCCACCATGGTGGTGCGCTGTTTGCACTTGTCGGTGCCGGCAAAGATGTTCAGCGGTCGCTTGGTGCCCGGCGTGTGCCGCTGCGGGCACTGGTCGATGTCCACGCGCCGCAAGTCGATATCGATGCCAGATGTGCCCCTGCAAGAAGCAGACGGAAGACGATCAAAAATTGTTTCGTTTCTGTTTCTGTTTCGGTTTCGGTTTTGTTTGTCTGCCGTTTATTAATTTGTCAGTTTAACAATCAACTGGGCGGCACTTAAGCCAAATGGCGCCATTTATAAAAATCAATTCAATAAAACGTGCACAGCGCCAGCAGCTCAAATATTTATGTATGCGTAAGTAAACATGTGTGTGTGTGCGTGTGTGAACTGGGGTTAGGGCCAGTCTATGCCAGACCAAAAGGCCATTCTCTGCCCAGCCACTGACTGGATCGCATTCTGTATTTCTTTTCTTTCTTTTTTTGCTGTAATGCGAGCGATAACAAACAATAAATTCCGCCTTTGATTGCGCGACTCTGTCTGTGTGTGTGTGTGTGTGTGTGCGTAAGTAGTAGATGAAAATAGAAAGGATAAAGGATAAAGGCCAGGCGGAAACTAACAAGCGTGTTATGGTTCCGGTTTCGCAATGAAAATGAACGCAAAAATGAGAGAGAGAGAGAGAGAGAGAGAGAGAGAAAAAGAAAATCAGAAATAGTAGAAAATTATTTTCTTGTCGTTCCGCTGTCGTTGCCTGCCTTGTCGCTTCACAAAGACATAAAGCCATGAAAAGGGTGCACCGAGTCCGACAGCCAGCCCAGATGACTCGCAGCCCAGAATGTCTATATGACGGCCCCGGCATGGGCAGTCGGCAACACCCAATTACACGCATTCCCAGGCAGGACAGCGCTGAGCAGCCAGGCAGCCGGAACCCATCGAGAATTTTACGCATAATCCAAGGTCCGTCTGCACAGTGGGCCCAGAACAATTCGATCGTACACTTTGATTGGCACTAGTTATTTTTTTCATTATTTTTTTTTATGCATACTCGTAAATATCAAAATAATAGCAACCAAGATTCAGTTATCTAATCTCTGAAGCTGCTTTAAAATAGTTTTTTGTTGACTTTCACTTTGTTTATGTCTTTGAATATGCACTTGTTTTTATTCACTTTATTCAGTTTTATTCACTTTATGTATATTTAATAAAGACATGAATGCAAACGGCAAATATTTATTGCGAAGAAAAATCATATTAATTAATTCATTTGTATATTCATTTTCTTTCTTTTCACTTGGTTACAATAATTTGCATCTTAAATATTCATTTACAACAATGAAAAATATTTACTTTTTAATTGAAATGCTCTTAAAATAGTTTCAAACAGATGTTTAATTAAAATGAATTTATATATAAAATATTTATAATTTCTATATAATAATATTTTATATATAAATTTTAGTTATTATACATTTTTTATAATATATAAATATTTGTTATTATACATGTTTTTATCATTCATTAATTTAATTTAAATATTAAAAAATAATTCTATTATATATCTTAAATTTATACTGCAATATAATATATATATAATAATATATAATATAATATCAACATACAATAACTTTGTTAGATAAACTATTTTCATTTGCAAGCAAATGTTTTAATTTTTGTTATAGCAGCTGGAAAATTAGCCCAAATATTTATTGCTGAATTGATTAAATAATTTTATTTATATCCCTTTTTTTTTAATTGTTTTAATTGATGCTTAATACTTCAAATATTGTTTTGGTTGATCGCTTACTAATTTCATCAGCATACAAAATTAAATTATTTCTCTCAGCTGGCATAATATATAATATAATATGCGTAAATTTGTTTATTTATATAGTCAGTATATTAATTTAATTGTAAGCCTTTAATCTCCAATTCAAATCTGCTGCTAAAAAAAACATGAATAGCAATATGCTAAAATTACATATTTGTTATTTCAACAAATTCGGGTGTTTGTCCCCTGCATAAATATGAACTATAAGTATTATAATTACATTTTGACATCAGCTACAACAAATATATTCATGTGCAATTTGAATTTGAAGGGACTAAAAAAAGCAGGTGAAGGCCCAATGTGTAATGGAAGCTTAGCTGACGTCAGGCGGTAGACCTTTTTTTGTTGGCCAACTCGCAGTTGGCCCTAATGTGAGCGTGTGTGTGTGTTTGGGTCCCTTGCCGTGTAGGGTCCGCAGTTTCATGCGCCTGTCAGTTAATATTGACATATCAGTTTGTATTTATTTGATTGTTTCTGACAACTTATTGATTGCGAAAAGGGATAACTGGGCCGTGTATGGCACGCAGCCGGACTACACAATGGCCATATTACATTATAATAATGATTATGTTAATTCTCCTGCAGTTGATCCCAACGCCTTTGTATGTCGTCCGACCGGGATCCACTTTTTCCTTTTCCCTTTTCCCTTTTTCTTTTCACACACTTTGCCGGCCTTTCTTATTTGCTTGCCTTTTATTTGCTGTGGTTACGTTCTGTCAGCGTTGTTGTTGTTGTTGCTGTTGCAGTTGTTGTTGCTGTTGACAGTTTTGAAGATAATTTGTAAACGGATATCGGAGAATAAGCTTATCGAGCTGTGCGGCTCATATTGATTTATTAGTTTGGCGCCCTCTACGTGTCCACGGGAATAGGAAGCGTTTTGGCCAATTTAATGGCCGACAGTCTCTCTCCACATCCTGCTGACGTGGCAATGTGTCCGGCTTTGCTGGCGTTTTCTTGATGCGGCTTTGATTAAGTGTCGCCCAATGCCTACAAATGAGCTGTCAATTAATTGCTGTTGTCAGATATTCCTGTTGCGTTGCGCTCCATTTAAATGGCATGGCCTAAGTCTGCGTCTGAGCCTCAGCCTGAGCCTGTTGATTTTCAATTTTGTTGCGAAAACCATGAGGTTTTCAAGTAGCTCGCCCCCTCCCGCTCTCTCTCTCTTTTACGACCTTTAGGCTTGTTCTGCTTGGCCGTTCAGCTGATTAGCATAATTGGTTTTTCCTCGACTCCAAACCAGAGTTGGGGCTTCCGTCTTCGAACATTTTCTAATTAAACGTTGGCCTAATGGCGTCAACAGCCCATTGAAACTTGGCCAAGCACTTCATTTGCGCACTTTAAGCGACTATTTATATTGTTGTCAGTGGGTTTTAAAGTGAGCTTCCTACAAATATTTGGCCAGACAGCACAGAGAAGACTTGCCGGCATATGGCTGTGTGTAACGAATACTTAAGCCACGGCGAGCACGTGCGCAGCTCACCGTCTACGTGCATGGCTAAAATGCATTTTTCGCTGCTTAAACAGAAAAACAAGACACACAAACACACACACACACACACATATATATATACATATAGAGAAGAGAGTATTACTATAGCACGTACGCTCCATTTTAAAATTCTGACAGCTAATACGCAGCTCACCCGCCCCTCCGCCAGCACTGCCCCGCCCACTCAAATCCGTGTGCGTGTGCGTTAGTGTTGAGTGCATTAAGTTTGCTTGTGCGTATTTTGGTTATGGCCACAACAGCATATCTATACACACACACACACACACACACATACATATATTCACAGTGGTGTGTGTGTGTGTGTGTGTGGCATATGCCAGTCTCTTTCACTGCTCAACGCACGCAAGTAGTTTGCAATCAGTTTGTAAACAACAACTCGCTCGTTTGGATTTGTTGCCGCATTACGTATACGCCATGTATGCTGCCATTTGCCAATATCTATATACATATGGCATACTACTTTTATGTGTGTGCGTGCGTGCGTGAGTGTATGTGTGTGGGTGTCTGTGCGAGACTCCATCTAATGCACATAATCAGCTTCACTTTTGCAGTTTTCACCTCGTTGACATTGTTGGTTAAGCCCACAGAAATTCGGTCATCGTCGGCCTAAAAGTTGATTCCGAAACTGTGTTCAGCCCCAAAAAATATTACATATTTCGGTTGCTAAGCCACATAACCTGCAGGTCAGGCCATTTGCATGCTCATATCAAATGGACAGAGCAGTAAGGTCTACGTCCAGCTGCCCAGCAGCAGGCAAATGGAATAGTTGACCGAATGAGCGCCATACGAAGGGAAGTTGATAGAAAACAGCAATTTGAGCTGGAGTGACTGTTCACTCTGGCTGAAGCCTCATTTAGGCTTTGGCTGATTAAAGTCTGCTCTCGAACTAATCTCAGGCAGCTTGCTCAGGCTTAAATTTGTTCAACTCTGCTCGGATGGAGGATGGACTAAGGCGAAACTTAAGTTTTGGTTTAATAATTAAGCTGTATTTTTTTTATATTTTCCGAAAGGAGAGCTCACATCAAATGGCAAAGTCTTTTGAATTGGAGCGTAGTTATACATATATATAATACATCTAAAAGAAATTCTCTCTAGCTCTAGCTTGAGTTCAATTAACACAGAGTAAAGCTGAAAGACTCGCCTCGTCTTGTCGTTTATATGGCATTTGATTTTTTCACCTCTGCAGTGCACGAAATAAAAATTTCAATTATACGAATGCAGCTGGAGAGGTGGGGGAAAAAATGAAAGTAAGTATGAAAAGTCTGTCAGGAATTGAAGGACGCGTTGTTTGTTTGCGTGCTTGATTTGTTTGTTAACAGTTTTCTCTTGTTATTGTTATAGTTGTTTTCTTTTTTTTTTTGCTCTTCAACTGTGTAACAGCATCGAAAGCTGTGCAGCGGACAGTTGTGACAGCATCGAAGGGCCAATGTTGCTGTCACTTTTGTTGTTCGCACTGCAATGCTGCGTATAATTGGCTGTTCGAAGAAGACACTGACATTGTTTACGGAAAACAATAAAAACATTGCTGGCAGTCTGCACCCAGCTCGAGCTGCAAGTCAGAACGAATGTCAACCATATCTCCCGGAGCTAAACTCCACTTAAGGGACAATCGCACAAATGCTCAGTCGACTCGTCTAAGAGTTAAATACTAGCAAACAAGAGATTCACACATCAACATCTTGCATTCATAATCATGCATATTCATGCACTGCAGCTCGACGTGCTAACAAGCCAAACCCAACTCAAACCCAACTCAGCTCAGCTCAGCTCAGTTCCTGGCAATACTTCTCTATCGTCGTTGCATACTCAAAGGAATGCTTATTGCAATATTTGATATTTCCGTTTCCGTTTGCCTCATTATGCTTTGTGCATGTTTTTATGTGTGTGTGTGTGTGTGCTCAAGACTTGTAGATATTGCAACATAAGTCAAATAAATACAACGCTGGGATTACTTGTAAGCCAGCAGGAGGGGCAGGGAGCAGGGCCACCCAGTCAGTGCCTCTTCTCACTCTCCCTCTCTGGTGTATTATTGAAAATTTGTTGCATGCAGCGCCCGCTAAGCGAAACTTAAATGAAATCCAATAAAATTATTGCCCCAGCAGGCATGCCTGAGCAGCTTGTCCGGGCTCGCCCGGCTTGTCCTTTCGCTCGGCTCGCAGCGGGTGCTTAATGTGATTTGTGCTTTATACTTATTTGCGTTTCAGTTTGAGGTTGACTTTGGGATTCGTTTGGGTTTGGGTTTGGGTTGGTCTCTTTGGGTCTGAGGTTGACTGTGTCGCATCATTTCGGTTAGGTTTTGCGCTGAACTGTCTGCTCGACGGCCCAACAAAGTGCCAAATAATTTCTAATATTATTAAGCTAATGTTTCGCCGGCAACAATGGCCCATTGTTGTGGGCCGCCTGCATTTATCATGGTATAACAGAGCATAATACATAAATTAAATCAATTAGCAACTTTCCGTGACGCCGTCTGACTGCCAACTTTTTCCGTCCGGCAGTTAGCCGCCACGACGTAAACAAATTCATTTTGCGCCCAGCTCCGCAACTAATGGAATACTGATAGCAGCCCATTATTAACACGATGCCAAGTAGCCAACTTTAGCTTCTGGCCAAAGGCAATGCAGCCGAGCTATGTGTGTGTGTGTGTGTGTGTGTGTGTGTAGCCTCATAATGGGGCATTTCAACTGAGTTATGAAACATAGCTGGAAGCGAGTTTTATGTATTTATATTACCATGAACAATTAATTATTCTAGGCAAAGTATTCTCCACTACTACAAAATTTATTTTATATAAACAATAGAGACTTTTAAGTCTGATTAAGCAACAGAAATTCTCAGAACTATACAAAGTTCAGCATTGACTTTAGATATAGTTTTTGGAATAAGAGTATTTAAACTTCAGCTGGCCCAAAATAAACTTTTTGCTATAGCTGGCACTCACTTACTCTCTCTCTCTCTCTCTCTCACTCTCTTTACATTTTATTTTTGTTTTGCCAAGTTGCCAAAATAAATGAGCTTTGTGTGTGTTTTTGGCTGCGGCTGCTGCAAGGCAACGCTGCACCTAAGCCAAACGAACTTTGAACATTTCGACATTAATTTTGTTGCATCCGTCCATTAGGCGAGCCAGAATTTATGTTGCAACTAATTGCAGGCAGTTACCGTGCTGCCGCGTTGCCTTTATATGCCCGCATGTGTGTAAGTGTGTGTGTGTGTCTAATGTGTGAAATTTATCGAGCGCGCAAAGTCAATGAGCATTAACTGGCATATCTAGCTAGGCATGTGCGGGCGTGCGCCCGTCTCTGCTTCCTCTAATTGATAACTTTCATTAAATATTGTCTGCCACACACACACACACGCTGCTGCTGCTGCTGCTGTCGCCCACCTGTGGCCCAACCGGCGCGTGGTTAATGAAATTTGCAACGCTTTGCCCGTAATAACACAATTTATTAGCAAAAGCCGCTGCGCTGCTTTAAGCTGTCAGCTGTCAGTGCTCAGTGCGAAATGTTGACAATTCAGTTGCTGCCGCTGCTGCTGCTGCTGTTGCCGGATACATTGTTGGCCATCACAGGGCGCAACGCCAACAAAGTCTTGACGGTTGACAAGCTAACTTGGCGTCAGCTAGTCTTCTATCAATCGCGCTGTAAGTAGCATCGCAGAGATCTACATAAGTGAGCTCTTTCATGATCGATTGGGCATGCCTCCTCAACAGGGCCGCAGCGCAGACGCTTCATAACCACGCCAGAGCCAGGCACCCAGCCAGATCCGCCCAAGCTGCGCAAGGTCTATCCCTGCTACTGTTACAGGCCGCCACAGCCCGGCCAGCGGACCACCGAGCACTATGAAAAGTATATGATTGAGCCCAAGGACATTTTCATACTAAATAAGTAAAGAGAAAATACTTGAAATGATCATATATATATTAAATATTAAATAATGAAAATGTAAACTAATAAAAAATATAAAAAAAAAAAAATAAATATAAATATATATATATATATATATAAAAATATAAGAAAAAAATGGCATATATAAAATAATTAAAAATATTAAATAATATATTTTATTTAATATAAGAAAAAAATAATAAATATTTATATAGATTAACTAAAAATATTAAATAATATATTTTATTTAATATAAGAAAATGCTTAACTTAATATTCTCTCAATGTCTCTCCTCTCTCGCTCTCTCTCTCTCTCTCTTTCTCTCTCTCTCCCTTATTCATTTTCTCAATTGTTATAATTTTTGCATTGATCTAGATTCAATCTCCTTTGATTGTCTCAAGTTAATTGAACAAATTCCAAGGCTTAGGCTTTCTTATTAAAATTCCAAATATTGTTTTGATAACTCCTAATTGCGCGGCATCAAACAGACGCTTCTTCTAATAACGGCATAATAAGACGCTGACTAAAAAACAGATTGCACGTTGGAATTTTGGTATTGTTCATTGTCTGTTGTCTGTTGTCTGTTGTCCGCTGTCCTCTGTCCGTTGCCTGGCAATAATTACAAATTATGCATGAAACGATGTGGAAGTGCGGACAGCAGCCACGACGACTGGTTAATTGTGCACAGCAGCAGCCGGAATGGGACACAGACAGTGCTTCTACCCCTCTCTCTCTCTCTCTCTCTCCCACCTCTCTAGCTCTCTCTCTCTTTCCACCTAGTCACTGTTCTCGGTTTTATTGAAAACCCTTGCCATCCTGACGCAGCGTCGGCATGTTCGCAATTTAGTCATAAACAGGAGAATGGCTTTCAGCCGTCATTATGCTGATGGGCATGCAGCGTCGTGGCACTCAGTTTGATGTTCTAACTAACTGTCCAGCTGGGTCTGCTCCAACTACAATCGACCCACCAGGCTGTGAAGTGGGCACAAGTTCTTCGCTCTATACGCTATAGCTAGTGTGGGGTAGCTTAGACATGTTGAAGCATAGATGAATATTAATTTGAATAAACTTTTAATTGATTCAAAGGCCTTCAGATGAGCTTGAGACATGGCATATGAAATATATTTTACAATAATTATAGTAAACTTTTGCTTAGCTAAGATCAATGCTTATGTGATTCCTTTGTTTTCTCCTCTCAAATCTGATTCCTCAATTTTAAATATAATATAATAAAATATTATAGTCATTTAGAGAAAGTTCTGCTTTTTCAGAAGAATTCCCTTTTTGTTTTTATTTACAGGGCATTACTTAGTCAATCACTATAGCGCTAATGGATTTTTTAAAATAATATATATTATATCACCTTCAAGTATGTAATATAATTTTATTCCGCAATTAAATGTATAATTTAAATTTATATTTATATATATATTTAATATACAAATTTTACGCAATTCAATATTTAAAATATTTTATTTATTTTTAATATATTTTAATTTTTAGTTTATTTATTTTATTTTAATTTATTTTTATTTTTAATGTATTTTATTTACATTCCTCAACAGAGCAACGCTTAGCCATTTTTGCCTCAATATATTATCATATCTCTCAGTTTTATTTCACATTAAGTCAAATGAAATTTGTACAGGGCATCGCCTAGTCGGTCACTCTGCGTGCTGCTTGCTCTTTTACTTGTCAGCATTTGCAATTGTTGTTTTAGTTCCAGTTATTGTGGTATTTGCTTGTCAAATGGCCTTGTTTATGGTAAAAGCCGTTCGGCCAGTTCCTTTGCAGATTTCAGTTTTGTTTTGTTTTTCTTTTCGCTTTTTATTTTGAGCTTGAAAATATTTGGTAATAGAGCGCCTGACACTTTCAGCTGATTTGGCAAATTTAATGCACGAACGGGAACAGCTTCTAGTTCGCATTGTTGTCTGCAGGCGCCGCCTCCACCTCTGCCTGCTTCTCCTGCTCCTCCTGCTCCTCCTGCTCCGTCGCCTGTCAGCCAAGTGAATTAATTAAATATGCTCAAAGTGCACTCGTCGTGCCCTAAGTGGCGCTCGGGCAAGGGAAATGCTTTCAAATTTATTGATTTGGCGAACCATCTCGGACCGACATCAATGAAATTTTCATTAAATTGTGTAACTTGTTTTACGCTCCTTCTCGCTCGACTACGGCTTCGCTCTGACTTTTCGCACAGTTGCCAACTTTTGCTTTAACATTCAATTGAGAAACTTTTACCAAAGAGAACTATGTTCCTCCTTCTCAAAAAAGAGATGTAGAGAATCAAGTGAAAAAACAAGAGCCTGCAGAAATTTTGTTAAAAGTAGTCTCTGAGCACGTCATAAGTTGCATAAGTATATAGTCTCCATGTTAAAGTATTCAGTTTGCCGGCGCGTGATTGAAATTCGCCAACAGTTGCCCAAAGTGGCTAAGCACTGCGTGGGCTGAGGGTGTTCGGGGTGTTGAGGGTGTTGCATGGCATTCAAGATCTGTGGCAATCGTTATTGCTGCTGCCGCTTCGATAGGCAGGACAATGGCACAAAGTGCAGCCACGCCCAGTCGAGCTGGCTGCATTTCATATTGTGGGAGCTGCAGCTGCAGCTGACAGCTGAGAATGCCGCCGAAACAATAACAACAATAACGAAAACAAATGCACAAAAACTGCGCCAATGGCAAATTTTGCAGCAGTTGCACTCGCCTGGCTTTTGGCCTGCAAATTATTTATGAAATGAGAAATGTAGGCAGCCGGCCGCGCCCACACTTCCCTTCACTACGACAGCATTGCACTGCAATTGTTTCCGACTTACTTGAAGTGATAGCTGCCATTCTCGTAGCCAAAGAACGGCACCGTGTAGGTCAGCATCCAAATGTTGCCGCCGCCGCAGTCGTAATAGGGCTTCGACCATCTGCCATCCTCGTACTTGACGGCCAGCGTGTCGTCCTCGACGCGTTCCTCGGTCCGGTTCGAGTACAGATGAAATGCTGCAAGATATCAAACAGGACGAAGGTTAATCGCTGATCAACAATGAATGCATCAATGAGTGCATAGAATAGCTAATGCAATGCATTGATGCTAAGAGACAATGTCCAAACGCCAGCTCGACCTTCGTTTGCATTCTCCCTTAGCTAACGACTCTACAGTGTTGTCGTCAGCTCTTGAGGTTGCATTAAAAATAGATTTGGCAGCTGGACATTATCTGTATACTAGGTACACCCTAATGCCAAGTCTTATGGATTGCATAAGCAGCTATCAACTGGCTGACATGGCAGAGAGGAAATTTTACTAATGAGAGATTGCGTAAGATTGCACAGGACTTGACTTGACATAGCCGGAGTGAATTGTGCAAGCAAACGAGACGAGAATACGTGAGTAGAAATACCCAGAAGAGATGTGTAATTAGCTATGCAGAGAGCTTTACTGATTATGTTGCTCTGCCCCCTAAAATTTATAAAGAGAATATGCTGCATGCACTGTGCGAGATGAGGTGCAAAGTAGAGAGTTAGAGTTTAAGAAAGGACTGAGTATAAGATCTGAAAAGAAGAAGAGTAATCTGTGAGCCAGGCAGCAGAAAGAGACTGGAGTCAAATGAAATGTGAGATGAATTGCTGTGAACTAACCAGAAATCAACTTTATAGCATTCTAGTTCAATTACAGTTCATAAAATTAAAGAAGAGACCTGCAATAATCTTGAGATTTGAATGATGAGCTAGAATTGTGGAGTTTTTCTTTACACACAATTTCCGTTAGCTCTTAAAATACCAAAAGTGTGGCCTTATATCTTTAATGTTAACGATTGTTTGAAACAGGGGCCAAATTACGAATATCCATTATTAGCTAGAAGAGGAAGACAACTTGAGCACTTTATAGCTCCAATGGGAGTCATATAACAGGCGTGCTATAAAAGAGTTTATTATCAGGCAGAGCATAATCAATCAGTGTCTAAAGAGCAGAAAGACGGAAAGATTTCATTTGGGCGGAATTCGCATTAGTTGCTGAAAAGTTATACAAAGACTGACTAACGACAGTTGGGTAATGGAAGAGGAAGAGGTAGGAGGGAGATAGAGAGAGAGGAAGAGAGAGAGAGAGACGGTAGGGTAAGTAGAGTATTATTTGTAAAACCATATAATAATATTTTATAAATCTAATATCTGTATAGAGTCAGTCAAAGGGAATTGACAGAGCAGCAAGTCAAGCTCTGCATTTATAATCTCATGCAGTGTGAGTCGACGGCTGTTGACCAAGTAAAGTTAAATAAAGCGCATTAATTTTGCAGGCTGCCGACAGCAGAGAGATATAATAATACATTTCAATTGAGACATTCGCGTGCATATTTGAAGGTGTCACAGTTCATCAATTGCTAATGGCAGCCAAGTCGAAGGGCGTGAATCGAACAGCTGTCCGATTGCTATAAAAGAAGGAAATTGGGCTCGGGTCGTACTCAGAAGAGCCGCGACCGTTGGCATCATGGCACTCACATTCGAGCTAATCAGACCGGCGCCACTCTCCCAGCGGGTGCGCTCCCGGGACGGGCTCATCTACATGTACCGGGGCATGTGGATCATCGGCTGGATGCCGCCGGAGTCGGGTGTGTGGCGGTATGTGTATCTCACTTGGACAGCTGCGACCCTGGTCTTCGGGGTCATTTATCTGCCGGTGGCGTTTCTCACCAGCTATGTGCTGGAGTTCAGTAGCTTTGCGCCCAGCGCGTTCTTCACCTCGTTGCAGGTGGCCATCAATGTGTACGGCTCGTCGTTCAAGTCCATGATCACGTACATTTTCATGTGGCGGCTGAGCAAAACGGAGACGCTGCTGGACAGGCTGGACGAGCGGCTGCAGAGCGACGAGGATCGCCAGAAGATCCACCATGTGGTGGCTCGCAGCAATTACGCCTTTCTGATCTACACCTTCATCTACAACGGCTTCGCGATCTCCACCTTCCTGTCCATGGTGCTGAGCGGCAGTCCGCCGTGGGCCATCTACAATCCGTTCATTGACTGGCGCGAAGGCATGCTCAGCTTGTGGGCCGAGTCGATCTTTGAGTACATCGTTATGTCCATTGTGGTGCTGCAGGATCAGCTGGCCGACTCGTACCCACTGATGTACACGCTCATCTTTCGCGCCCACTTGGACGTGCTCAAGTCGCACATACGAAACCTGCGCATGGATCCCACAAAGAGTGAAGACGAGAACTACCAGGAGCTAGTCAACTGCATAATGGATCACAAGCTTGTGCTTAGGTGGGCCCGAAGGCGCTCTCTAGCTGTGGTGGGATCTACTCATGCATGCCCTGCTTCTCTTCGACAGATGCTGCAATCTGGTTCGGCCAATCATATATCGCACAATATTTGTGCAGTTCCTGCTGATTGGCCTGGTGCTGGGCCTCACTCTGCTGAACATATTCTTCTTCTCGAACTTCTATCAGGCCGTCGGCTCCATTCTCTTTGTGCTCACCATACTGCTACAGACGTTCCCCTTCTGCTACAACTGCAACCTGCTGATTGACGACAGCGACGACCTGGCCAACGCGGTGTTCCAGTCCAACTGGACCGAAGCGGAGCCGCGCTATAAAAGGACCCTGGTCACCTTCATTCAACACGTACAGCAGCCCATTGTTTTCATAGCAGGCGGCATATTCCCCATCTCGATGAACAGCAATATAAGCGTGAGTATAGGAGTGAGAGATGGTGTTAGAGAGAGAGAGAGGGTAAATCTGTATTTCCGGCAGGTGGCCAAGTTTGCATTCAGCATCATTACCATAGTGAAGCAAATGAATCTGGCAGAGAAGTTTCAGTAGAGGCTGGATCGCGTTTGCCCCACTGTGCAACGACAGCACTTTGGGGCTTATCCTCTTTTTATATTAACGTAAATTTTCATCTTTATTTATTGCACCCTTAAACGAGTCTGGCGCGTGCCAAGTGCTCGTCTGCAATTGCCTCTAATACAAGTTCCCCCCCTTAGTAAAAAAAATGTAAACCAGAGTAATAGACACACACACACACACACAGACTCAGTCCCCACTGGGGCTCGGCATTGTTTGTGGCTGGAATTTGCATAGAATTTGTATATGTTATAGTTTATCTTATAAGATTTAGCTGATTTAGTTGTGCTCTACAATTGCGAGGCCCGCAATGGTAATGGAAATGAAAAGCCACAAAACGGATGGAATACAACTCCCCTAGGAGGCGGCGGGGGCGGTGTAGCAACATTTGCAAATTGTGTTAACAGACGGAAATTACAAACGAGAAATGAGAAACAAGAAATCTACCAATGCCAAGACATAATCAGCCCACACATAAAAAGAGCAGAAAGCAAAAGAAGCAGCCGAAGCAGAAGCAACTCCCTTGGCACCGTAGCTCTCGCAGGAAGTGCTACGCATATATGTATATGTATGTATGTATGTATGTACATATTACTGTTTATATATTGTATGTGATTTTTATTTAAATTTTATGTTAAACACGTGACGGGCAGACAGCAAAAATCATATATATATATTTAAATATATATATATGTATATACATGTATATATGTATGTATTCAGCTATAGAAAGCATCAGCGGAACCAAACGCAATGACAACGACGACGACGACGATGACAGCAGCAACAACAACAAAAGCTAATTCTGCTACAAATATTATGACATCTTTTTGCGTCGTGTTTTTTTTTTTTTTTGCACACACAGACACACACACACACATATTTGCACACAAAATGGCACTCAACTGCAGCTGCTTAAAAAAATGCATGGCATTTAGATTCGTCACATGCAATTTATTAAATTGCTGTAATTAAGTTCGGATTTTTTTTTTTCGACAATGTCAACACTCGAGGCTAGATTTACATAGGCAGCATATTTGTTTGGCATGGCCTTTATATTTATTTTGAAAATATATGGAATATATTTATAGCGTATTTAGTATTTCCAAAAAGTTTATAATTCAAAATTTGTAAAATCTTACTAAAAACTTTCTAGTCAAAGCAGAATTTATGTATTTATAGAATATTTAAAAGATAAAGGAATTAAATAAATAAATGTATAAAAATCTGCATTGAGATATCTATATTCATATGAATATTTAATTAAATATTATGTTAACAAATCATTTTATTTTATGAACTTTTCCTTTGGCTACTCTTGGCAAATATTATCTCTACTTGATCTGTTAGTACATCTACTATAATGGAAAAGATCTGAGTGCCTTGATTAAATCTTGAATTAATTTTGCATTACATTTGATGGCAGATGTTATTTAGTATATTTAATATGAAATATATATGTATATATGAGCATAGACTAGTATTTATGATTATCTGATTTCTAATATCGTTCTAGCATTTGTAATGAAATTATCTTATATCTTTATACACTACTATGAGAGATATGTTGGATTTTACTTTGCTATTCAAAAAAAATAAATAAATAAATAAATAAATAAAATAAATAAATATATATATATATTATAAATAAATAAAATATCAATAATAATAATAATAATAATAGTCAACAAATTATTACAGCCTAAATTGTATTATTTAGCCTTGATTGACTATATATAGGCTCTCATTGACATATGTAAAGTTATTTAAAATTTGTTTAGTGCCTTCAGCATTTTCAGTCCAAATGCCACAGCTTTATTATGTTTATATCAATACAAATTAAAATTCCATGCTATTTTCAAGCAAAATTAATTTGCTAATGTATTAATTATTAAATGACAAAAAATAACACAGGTGAACAGAAGTGGGAAAGCAAAGAAGATAAAATTTATATTGAAAGAGATAGACTACGAAAGTGCGTGAGTGGAAGAAAAAGGGCATGGAGATAGCAATAGAGGGAGAGAGAGGGAGCGAGAGAGAGTGAGAGAGGGAGAGAGAGAGAGAGACAGAGAGAGAGATGATATATAGCAAATTCTCAAGAGTTTTATTAAATTATTTATTTAGTTTTTGTTATAAGAACATCTTGAATATTTATTTAACATATTTATTTATTTTTGATTTTTATTTCCATATTTATGTTGTTTTATTTACTATGTAAACCTGACATAACAAGAGACAGCACTTTGAAAACATTCACAAAAATCTAGTCTTATACCAAAATCCTTTTATGCTGGCCAGTGTAAATGCACACACGTATTTTATTTTGATTTTTTACCTACATTATAAACAGCAAAAAGTGTGTAAATCAAGTCTCATTATCATATGTAAATAGGTGCGGCAAAATAATAATAATGTTGCTGCGAATCAATTATTAATTTAGCTACCCACACACATGCACACATACATACACACACACACACGCGTATATGTAGTTCTAATGAAGTGAAACGCATTGTGCCAATTGAATTGAAATTCACATTCGAATATTTTGGGCTGTGCGAGCTGGAATTATTGTGCAATTGGGCAATTGGCCATGGCCATTTGGTGGCTATAAATGTTGATTATTGCACATTAAGTGCATTGAATTGAAATCGAAATTGAAATTGATTTTGATTTTGTGTATTTTTTCCTCTTTTTTTGGCTATTATAATTAATTGATATGCGTCTTTTATTTACGTTTGATAAAGCCATTAAGTAAACTCTGGCAATAATTACTCAATTTATCGCTGATTGCGGCGCAACAGCGCGAAAATAAAATTAATTATGTAACGTCAGAAATGGAATCACTTCCTTTAATGGTCGCTCGTTTCATTTGATTTCATATCTTTTTTTTTTATTTTTGTGGGTTCCTTGTTGCCGGAAAAAGCGCTCGATAATTGCTTAAAAAATGGCATTGGCATTGGCATCACAGTCGTGCACACCGCAAAAATATAATCAAATTAATTGCGCCTGAATTGGCCGGCAATTCGCTGCGGCTGCAAAGTATTTATGTATTTTTGTCAGCTGGCGTGAGAAAATCCCTGAAAATTTAATAAATTTCGCTTTGCCTTGCACCACGCCAAGCGCCTTGCGAACGCCTTTCGCTGCCCCAAGACAAAGTTTTGCCCCAGCGAACGTTGAATACGCCGGAGACTCCGTGGCCCAGGACCACGGCTGCGGCCAAAGCAAGTTCAAATATGTAAATGCATATAAATTGAAAGTCAGCTACGTTATGCAGATATTCCGACAGCAACGATGCCGACCCTAAGACGCAATTTAGCTGCCTCTGGTGTCGAGTTGCTCTAAAACACATACATACATATATATACACACACAGAGATATGGGACGGAACGTAAATCATAGTTCATAGTTGCGGCTATGCCGTGAGGCATCTTTCGCCTAAGTTTCACCAGCCAAGCGAGGTCGCTGCTTGCCATAGATATATGAATCCGTTGTCAAAATGCTAGTCAACATTGACACACACACACATATGCATACACGTATATATGAAAACACTGCTGCATAAAAGTTAACACAAGAAACACATGGTTTTCGATTAAAATTTTGTTATAAATTTTTGCCATTCTCAAACATAAAGTGCCTCCCAGCTGGAGTGATAATATTTTAAGTTATTTTATTTAAGTAGTTAACGTAAAAAATTAAACTTAAATTTAATTTAGAATTTTTAACTATTTACGGAATTAAATTTATTATGTAATAATTTTAGTTAAATAATAATTTTATTTTAAAATAATCTTCCGAGAGCATTGTTTACATATATTGTTTATTTGCTGTTCATAAGTGACAGCAGCTTCGGTGAGTGGAGGTTTGAGTAAACTCCTTTGGATGTGAAGACAATATTTATACAGAGACTTAAAAGCAAGCAAATTTTATTCTTCTCTCTCTCTCTCTCTCTCTCTCTCTCTTTCTCTCTCTGTTTGATTCATTTCTCTATTCCTGCAAAGATAAAAGTCTCAGAGAACAAGCAGCTGCATCGGTTCTTCGACAACTTCGCTCGTGATCGATTCGCTCTGCTTGCACCCAAAGTTGGGCTGAGGCTCAGCTAAAAGTAATTTTGTATGCATTGGTATATATGCGAAGGCGTAGTGAGTATGTGCATGTGTATGTGAGTGTCAGCATCGTTTGCATTGAGCCCTTGATTTATTTGCTCACTCTCTAACTCTCATTATGTTGTTCGTGAAAAAAGCATTACACAAATAGTTTAACTGAGGGAGAATATAAACTAGTAAAGCCGAAGTCTCTCGCTCACAACGAGACCGATCGAATATATAATTTCTTCGGTTGCTTTAGCAAGCTGAGCGTAAATAGCTATTATTAAATGTGCATTTAGCTATAGCAGTCAGTGTTACTGAAGAGTCAGACAAGTCAATGGCGCTCCAAAGACGCCCTCTATTTAAATCTGCTATCCAATAGGAATATTCCTCTCATATCTAAACACCTCTTTTCCTCTAAACATGACTTATCTCTATATATAAAGTCCTCGATATTTTTGTATATTGAGGATGATTGTAAATTTCATATATTATTTCATATATGTATATCATATACATAAGATGACTGCTTCAAGCGCAAACTAGAAACAACTTACGTCCTCTAACTATTTATCTCTCGCTTCTATTAGCTTACCCTATATTAAATTCTACTTCTTATGCAAACATCACATATTCATGCTAACCAGAAGCGCTTATCACATGAATTTACTACAAACTCGCAATACTTGCTGCTTCAATTTAAATATATTTCGTGAAGCCTCGTCGTGATGCCAGAAATGCTTTTTCCCCGCCATCAGGCACGGCAGGGCATCGACAGCGGCGCGGGGGCATGCGGTCATAGGGGCTTGAGGGCCTCTAATACATAGACGACACGCTGAATGGGGTTTTGGCCTAATATTTGGACTACAAATAATATTTCAACGAGTGTTTGTTTTTTTCCAATTACCCCCGTGACGACGGCAAGCAAGCAAACAAACGAGCCGATGAAAGAACGAACAAATGAATTTTTATCTGCGGCAAATAGGCCCGGCGTTAGCCGGCTTTTGTTTGCCTGCCCCCAAGCTGGCTGCAATTTGTGGTGGCCACTGCCAAACGTGGCATTAGTATGCAGCGGTATCCAGTGCGGGCGTCATGCAGCCTAAGCGGCTGCGTGTTTGTTTTCAATTCCGTTTATCTGCCTTTTCACTCACTCACTCTGTCTGTCTCTCTCTCTCTCTCTCTCTCTCTCTCTCTCTATTTAAATGTTGGCAGCTAGAAAACTCTGTCTGCCCGGCTAAGTAATACAGCGTGCGGCTCGCGTGCACAAATTGCGCATACGCGACGTATGACGTATGTGTACTCATAGTAGATATATGTATACTATATGTATATATATGTATTTGCTGTTTGCCTGCAGTCGAACGGGCAAATAATTTGCATGCAACATGAGCAGCCGACATGGCAAACACGACACGACACGTGGCGTATACGTAACCTTTAATTTACAAAATTATGCATATCAGTATGTGGCCAAAGACCATCTGCATGAGCCAGCCAGACGTTGAGTGTGTGAACTGCAAGAATTGATGGACGAACTGAACTGTTTGATTGATTGACTAATTAAATGTAATCCAAGCGAATTACGAACCGTGAACTGCATTTAATGCACTGATTGAGCCGTACGTATGTCAAACGTTATTCAACACTCACTATTGAGCCAGGGCTTAAACGTGGCCTATTTCATTTAAGCCACTCGATTGAGTGCCGCTATAGTTGACCATAATTTAAGAGCTGCCAACGGGCGACACATGCAATTTTCGGTTGTTTCCCTTTGGGGTCCCAGGTGCGTATTCAGGAATCACAACTAATTAGAAAGGCTGTGCCGACTTCTGGGCTATTCATTTACATTTTAAGTGGCCTGCCTCTGCAGACACCCACGCACACAAACATATATTCATATTGTATATATACATAGCAATTTGAGACAGTGCCGGCATTTTCTTTCTTATTTATTTGCTTAATTGTCGGGCTATGATAGAAATTTGCCCAACTGGCAATGATAAAGCGACAGTAAAATATGCGACTCTAAATGGATAGCAACGGCATCGCAATTAGGCAGCAGCAGCAGCAGCAGCAGCAGCAGAAGCTGCTCGCTTTTATGGCCTGGTGGCTCCCTTGGCGACTCGGCCAAGTGTCCCTGATGTCGTCTGGACAGTGACTAATGAAGTCACAGATTAAAGCACGCAGCAAATATAAATATTCAATGCCATACTCGAGTATACTCCGCTGCCATTACCGTTGCCATTGCTATTGCCATTGCCATTGCCAGTGAGGCATAAATAAGCTAGGAGTGCCGCCCCAGTCCACAAAGGGTGCATAAATCAGGGGCTGCTACTTACATTTCAGGTACTGCTCGTTGCGTGCTATCACTCGCTCGGCGTTCTTGCGTGCGAGGAAGAACCACTCGGATGTGTTGCCCAGGTAGTGGTACTCCATGGCCAGATCCTTGGCCAGCACGGCGCCCAGATTCGGCGGCGGCAGGCGGTAGGCGAACGGACAGAAGAGTCCCGGCTGAGCTGGATGCTCGTTCCAATCGAAGCAATTGCCCGCCGCAAATATATCATCGTCGAACTCCACCATGGACAGCACCGAGGCGTGCAGCAAGTTGACATCTTCCTGCACCGAGTGCGCCGTCGTCTTGAAGATTCTGCACGGAAAGTGGAGAAAATGTCGGAAAATTATACGTGCCCGTTACAATTCAGCGAAAATTGCATTAAAAATCCATGACATAATATCGTATATGTGTGTATTAGTGTATGTATATATGTATATAGTGCTCAGGCAGGTCATAGATTAAAGCATTCCAGCTGAGATTCTGTGGGTGGCTGCTGCAAGGCTTGCTGTTATTGTTTGCCCGCTCGGGCTGCCTCTCATTTTGTCGTGGCTGTCATTTATATTTTTATAACCGCTTGTTTGCTGCACCACTGCCCCACTGCCCCACGGAACCCACCACTGACCCACTACAGTCCCACTGTCCCACTGTCCCACTGTCCCACTGTCTGCTCTGCCGAATTGCCGTCGCTGTTGTTCCGGCCAGGTCCGGGGCTGGGCCCCAGGCTCTAACACAAGTGCACTTATAGGCGCAGCGCATTATGCTGCTTCAAGCTGTGCTCAAGTGCTCCAAGCGCTGCGACTGCGACGGCGACGGCGACGGCGACTGCGGCTATTGTGTGCCATCAGGCTCTCTGGGTGTTGCCAACTAGGTGTGTGACTGTCTCTGTATATATATATGTGTATGTGTGTGTGTCGGTGTGTGTGTTTGTAAAAGTAAATGAGAATATTGCGTTCAAGATTGTGCCTTAAGTGCCATAAGCCCGGGCCGCCCGTCGCCAATGGACGTCGTCTGCCGTCTTCCGTCCCATACCCCATCTCCCGTCTCCATCTCCGTCTGCTTCTGCGTCGGGTCGCTTGGTCGGTATTAATTAAAATGTCACTTTAACATAACATTTCCGTTAGGCAACAACAGAAACCACAGGCGACATCCTCGCACCACAATTCCCGCTGCTCGACCTGGACCAAAACTGTCTAATGGCCAAGGCTATTGCCAAAGTCCAGGCCGAAATAAAATTCTATTAATATGAATATATAATTATTTGCGGCCGCAACAACCTACTGCCCCTCCCTTCCGCCCCTTTTGGCCATTTAAGAATAGGGCAAAATCTTGTTGTTTGTTTTCCAGCAGACAAACTTATGTTTAACTTAAGAGCTACGTGTTGGTGTGTGTCTATGTGTGTGTGTGCGTGTGTTAGTGTGTGGGACTTTAAGGGATTTTGACAAGAAAACTTTAAGTCAGAATATGGGTATGGATTACTTATATATATATATATAGTTTTACTGTAAGAATTGAAAATAAATTATTTTTAAAATGAATTTTTAATAATTATATTGAATAAATTATATGTTAATTTATTTACCAGCTTGAATCTTTTAGTTGAAGCTTTAAAGTATTATTTTTAATTTATTTAATATAAATATATACAATAAAATACGATTTAATAGTATTCATTGAATTAATAAATATGAATGGATTTATTTAAATTATTTAGAATATAGTTTTATTATCTATCAATATTATTTTTATTATACTATTATTATTACTAACAAAATTATTATTACTAAACTCAATTTGTTATAATTTAATAAATTGAATGAACTTAATAAATCATATTAAATGTCATATATTTTATTACATAGAACAATAAATTCTATATTTTTTATATAACTATTTTGAGAATATATTTACATAGAATATATGTATGTATATATGTAGTATTATATTAAATTTCGAATATTTATTAATATATTAATAATCATAATCATTTATGTATCAATAAATTTATTAAATTATTTACAATAATATTATTCGATTTGATGGAGAGTTAAATTTAAATAAATATATTAGTTATAATTTTAATTATATTATTAAAAAAATGATAATTAAGGTTAATTATATTCCATTTAGGTTCTTCTAAGTGCTTGGCAATTTTAATTAAAATATTATGTATTTTCATAGGCAACTATTTGTTTTCATATGCTATTCCTAGCAATTGTGGCCACATTTTCCGCTCAACTGTGTCGCTTCGTTTTCCAATAGAGCGGACCAAAATTGGCGCAGTGCGTGTGGCTTTGGCTAATTTGTGTGTGTGATTTTGACACGCTCGCTAACTGGGGGCGTGGCTCATTAATTAGTTGATCTGTTGCGAGGTTCATTTGTAAATGTCAGCAACATTTTGTCATTGCGAATGGCCCAGCGTCAGAGTTGAAAAGTCGCTCGCAGGCTCAACAAAAAACTTGAGGCTGGCTAATGATGATGATGATGATGATGATGATGATGATGGGGATGATAATGAGGGTGGCAATGGTGGCGTGGCTGATGCTGACTGTGCAACTAAGCTGGAACAGCTTTTTGGCATCCCAGTTCACGCTCTCACATAATTTACGGCCACACTTGCCCGCTTCGAGCACAGCCACGGAGTTAAGTATATAATGGATGTGTGGCTGCGACTGTGACTGTGGCAAGGGATGCGACATATGAGTGCCCGTTAGCTGCAATGTTTAATTAGCTGTCCACAAATAACTGAGCAGCAGCAGCACGATAAACTATTCCACTCTCACTCTCACTCGCGCTCTCGCTCTCTCTTTCTGATTAAGTTTTTATGGCAGACTGCTTGAACTCTTCAGAAGGCGTTGCAAGTCGTAAGCAACTGCAGCAGAGCCTGTTTTGTGCGAAAAGTGTGTTAAAGACACTCGACTGTTGAAAGGGCAAAACAAGCACTAAGCTGCAGGTGCGTCAAGTCAGACAGGTATTTAAGCAGACAGACTGAGAGACAGACGAGCAGATGGGTAGACAAAGTGCCAAAGCTGTCGCTGTTGTGCCTTGCACTCTTGAGAAGGTAACGCAGCAAGTGCAGCTCTCTCTCTCTCTCTCTCTCTCGCTCTCTGTTTGTGGGCGTTAGGATGTGACCCACTGGGACTTGCAGAATTTGTAATGACCTGTTTGCTGTTGCTGCTTTTGAAAGCAGCTGACATTTAATTAAAAATCATTGACCAGCAGCAGTAGGAGCAGCAGCAGGAGTAGCAGCAGCAGCAGCAGTAGAAGTAGCCAACGAAGCAATACAGATAATAGGGCTGCTTATCAGCTATCCGCTTGTCAGCACATCTCACATAGCAGAGAGAACACATAGTCCGCAGGCCGACAGATTCCACTTGTGTATTCATATTATGAGTCTCTATGACAGTCAAAATGGCGCCTAAGCCGCCATGAGCCGCGGGCCATGTTGCTTATTTGTTTTGCATATGGTGTCCGGGCCAGGGCTCTTCTCAACACTCAGTTGAAATACATATTACAAAACTTGTGAAAGCTGGGATAAGTAGGGGCGGAGAGCGACAACCCACAGCGAACAACGAACAGCGAACACCGAACAGCGAGCAGAGAACAGCGAACAACGAGCTGAGAACAACAAAGTGAACAGTGGCTGGCATTTAAGCCGCTTTTTATTTGACTTGACTTGAGAAGGCCGACAAGCAGCTGACACAGGAGCTGACGTTACTCGGCCGGGGCCCACATAACGTATATAATTTACAAATGCCAATTTGCTTTAAAGCTGATGCCAAGGCCGGGCTTTCGCACAATCTCTCTCTCTCTCTCTCTCTCACACACTCTTAATATTGATTCCTTTTTGATGGAATCAGCACAAAAATCAAGCCAGGAATCTGTTGTATTCACGCTTGATGTTTCAGATTTCATTCAATTATTTCGATTACTTCTTTACTTATTGGCAAAAAACCAATTAGTTATTAGCGTGAAGCCCGCTAAAAGCAAAGTTGGCAAATTAAATTCACATTGCGGCACCTGGAAGGGACCTTTCCAGCCTCGGATCAGCAAGCGCACACACAAAAAGCAGCTGAGCCAGCCTGAGGCCATTTTCGGCATGCAAATACAAACGCAGACGGGGCAAACATGCGCTCGCCACGCTCCATGCTCCAACTTTGACAGGGACATGCTTTAACGTGTCCTTGGGCAATACCCAAGCGTATGTGTGTCTGTGTGTGTGTGTGATTCAGGCACGCTTCATGTCGACTTTTTAATTGAAAGCGAAATGTTTTAGTTTAATTATTCAAAGCTCGCCGTTGCGCATGTTTGACCTGCAAGGATCAGGGCAAGGAGTTAATACTGAAAGTGCCTAGCCCTGGCCCTGGCCCTGGCTCTGGTTCTGGTTCTGGCTCTGGCTCTGGCCCTGGCTGTGGCCTACCTGTCAATGGCTGGCAGTCGTCCACCTTGCCTGCTTTTGTTCTAGGCCTTTGCCTTTTGTTGGCCAGCTTCCTGGCAAATGTTGATTTTAGCCCATTGCAAGCACCCTCCACGGCCCTTATCAATATTAATTAGCCCATAATGATCAAATTGGCAATGCGAGCCGTGCGTCCATCAAGTGCAACTGATTAGAATGCGATTGGCTGCCAATATTTGCGAGGTATTGTTGCATATATTAAGAATTTATCAGTTGCTAAGCAAACTTTGAATAGTCCACGAAAAATGAAAATGAAAAATGAAAATGAATTAATTTTTTCTGATGATTATTATATTATATTATTTACATTTCTTCTTTAAGCTAACCAAAAGCAATTTTAAAAACATTTATAAAATTTTATATTTTATTAAAATTAATTTATTGAATATCTGACTGTTAAAAGTGTTTGAAAATAAATATAAAATTAATTAAAATCTGCCCCCTTTATTTACTACAGTAAAATGTATTACAATTAATAATTATAATAATTTAAAATAAAATTAAATTTTTAATTTTGTATTTATTTATTTTTTTACATGTCATGATTTTAATTCATTCATTGGCTATTTTTATAAGATATTCAATACATTAATATGTATTTTATACTGCCTAAAGTGTTCCCATGACATATCCCAATTTGTTTATTTATTTACTTTTTTTTCATTACTGCGCGAAAAGCTTTTAGCGTTTTCTGGCTCAGCTTTCTATTGTCACTCACATATGCAGATTTGGGTATTGATTTCACTAGAAAGTAATGCTTAAAAAGCATCTAATTACCGAGGCACTTTGGGCCTTTACACATCACCCAAATTACCCCTAGCACTGAGTTTCTTTCTAATCGTGCCTCGTAGATGTTGAA